CCTCGGCCCCAGGCGCCAGGCGCGGCCGCTTGGCGTCGGGGGCCGCAGCGTCGCCCGGCCCCTGCGCCCCGGCCTCCGCGCTCGCGCGCGTCGCCGGACCCCCCCCGGCCTCCACGCCCGGCGCGCGCGCCGCCTCCTCCAGCAGCGGCAGGGCGTGGAGGTGGTGCAGGTGGGCCAGCGCCGCGGCGTCCGGCCCGCCGGGGCCCCACAATGCGGCCTGGTAGCCGCGCTGCGCCAGCTGCGCATGCAGCGCGCCCGCAGCGTCGCCGGCCTCCGCCGCGGCGTGCGCTGGCGCGTCGCCGGCGGCCAGCGCCGCGGCGAAGCTGCGCTGCGCGGCGATGACCGCCTCGGGGCCCAGCCACTGGAAGCCGGGGCGCCCCTTCTCGCCCACGTGTGCCTTCTCGATCAGGTGCAGGGCGGAGAGGATGTTGGCGATGTCGTACAGGCGGCGCACCTTGGTCTTGAAGTGCCCCGCGTCCTCGGAGCCGCCCAGCAGCGCGCGTGCCGCCTCGTCCAGCCCCAGCGACTTGGTCTTGGACAGCATGAACATCTGGACGAAGCGCTGGGACAGGCGCGTCATGGACTTCTCCTTGCGCTCGTCCAGCCCCGTCAGCGAGTCGTCGCCACCGGCGCCCACCTCCGCCAGCTCTGCCTCCGCCTGGGCGCGCAGCTCGGCCAGCGACGTCGCCAGGCGTTCCAGCCCGTGCCACGCATACTGGTTCTTCTGCACCTTTTCCACGACCTTGACAGACTCCAGCACGTTCACGATGTCATAGATGCGGCGTCGCTCCACGCCCAGCGACCGCGCGCTGCCGTCCAGGCTAATGACGGTGCCGGGGATGCCGAAGCGGGAGATGAAGTTCTCGCACAGGAGCGACAGCGACTTGGCCTTGCGGCTGTAACCCTCGGGACGCTCCGGGCGGGGGGCGGCAGGAGCCTGGGGAGGGTTGGGGGGAGGTAGGGGGGACGAGTATGTCAGGGTGGTGAGGTGTTAGTGCATCAGGGGCTGGGATTGAGTGCGTCAGGGTTGAAACGAGTATGACAGGGTCAAGGGGAGTGCGACAGGGGTGAGATGTGGGCATGAAGGAGGGTCCTGGCCAGTCACGGATGGGGTGTGGCGGCGCTGCTCGGACAACCAGTCATCTACGAAGGACTGCTGGGGGTGGCCGCCACATGCGATAGTGTCATGCAGGCAACCACAAAACACTTGAGCCTGCCCCTGCATCCAGCCTGGGGTGGCCTGTCCTGACGAGACGCAGAGAGGAGGACGCGGTGGGCCATGGCAGCATGGCTACCCCGCAAAATACCCCTCCAGCACGAAGGTCGTGTATGACTCACCGGAGACCCACCGCCCTCGATGGACGCACGCAGCGCCTTCTTCATCTTGGGCCCCTTCAGTGGGGGACCTTGGGCTGGCCCCGGCTCCTGCAACTGGGGAGCTTCCTCCATCTCCACGCCCAACAGTCAAGGGGGGAAAGGCCGCGGTGGAATGGGGTGGTCGAGGGTGCCTTGTTGTGGGTGGGGAGGGGTGCGGCGAGGTGTCCAAACCCCTGTTGTTAGTTCCGTGGGGTCACTGGAATTCCGGGCCTGGTTCGCAGGGCAGGCTGGCCTGCATAGCACCCAGATTCCGTCCCTGGGCCCTGGCAAGGGGCGGGAAGGGTTTCGACGGGACCCTGCACGCTCGAGGCTGGCCTTCCTTTTTACGTCTTCCGATCTCGTCTGTGACTTACACGATCAAACCCGAGCTTGGCGCCTTTGTGTTGGCGCCCTTTTCCCGGCGCGAACAGGAGTCTGTGGTCTGGTCCCCGGGTCTAGCAGTTGCTGCCCTTCCCTTTCTCGAGCTGATCTCGCTTGTATAGCAATGGGAATTGGAAGGCTCTGTGGAGCATGCCAGCACATTCGCGCTATCATTGAATCGTTCAAGCACTAGATTTGAACATGAATCATGCTTGATCCCATTTTACGAGCCGCTTTGCACTGTGTTCGGTGAAACAGTCCTCTGCCAGTGGCGCCAGACACCAATCCGTTGCTGATACCCCCACCCCCAAGGAGGCCTCGCTCATGCTGCTTACACGCGTTTCACAATCTGGACAATGTCCTCGTCCTGCAGAATGTGCTCCTTCCCCACCTTCTGCGGCCGGTGCTTGACGCTGGAGCCCCAGACCAGGGAATACTTGAACTGCTTGATGATGGCCTTGTGCAGGCGGTTGCAGAAGTGTTCCACGCTACTGTGCGCCGCTGGGAGAATGACGGGGTCGTTGTAGTCCGGAAGCTTGCCCTGTGTCACGGTAGATGAGGGTGTGGGCACAGGCTTCGATTATATGGAGGACCGAACACTGGCGGAACCAAGGGAACAGAATAGTTGCGGCATGGAGAACGCCCAATGCCTCCACTGGGCAGGCCCCACAAGCCATCCACTGGCCAGACGTCCTTCCTGCCAGCCTCTTACTGCGCTGAGACCATCCCCACCGGTCTCTCACGACGCCTGGTTGGATCTGCCTCATCCCCACATCAAACCTGGTTGCGCTGCCATCCCTACACACCACGCCCAACCCTCCCCCAGCACACCTTGGGCTTGGTGTAGATTCGGAGGAGGTCCAGGTACTCCCAGATCATCTCAACCAGGCCGTCCAGATTCCACTCGTGGTAGGCGCACACCGGGCAGTAGTGGGGCAGTCGATCCAGGACATTGAGCTCCTCCAGGGTGATCTGGGAGGGAGATACGCGGGAGACTACTGATATTCCAGACCTGGGAACAGACTCGGGCGGTGACCCACCAGGCATCAACCCATCCCCCCCAATCCGGCAAACCTGATCGATCTTGTTGATGACGTAAATGCAGGGCACGTATATTCGGTTGCCCTCGATCACATCCACTAGGTCATCCACGTCGTAGTCGCCCTTGAGGTGGACGTCGGCGTTGTGGATGCGGTACTCTGCCAGCACCGCCTTGACAGCTGCAGGGGGGGCAGACGGGGCAACCAGAGGGTCGCAGGGCCACACGGCATGGGAGCATATCTTGCCAGGCCCCTTGCACCAGTGACCTGTCGACCGCCGACCTGCTCAGCACCCACAAAAGCTTTCAAGCCCGCGCCTCACCGTCAAGATCAAGAGTTGGGTTGGCGAGGGTCGATGTGAAGGCAATGCCACCCTTGTCCTTCTTCTTGAAGGTAATCTCCGGCGGCTTTTTGTTCAGGCGCAGCCCAAAGCCTGGATAGAAGCGTGAGGGCCCAGGCACCTGAGGGATATAGCTGGCGAGCATCCGACCATGCCTCGCAGTGTCCCACATTGCACAGATGCAGTTGTGCAAGGATTGTGGGACGGGTGGCGTACCCATCCCAAGGATCCCTGCCAGCTGTTTCCCTTGATGGAAGCTGTCGCGACGCCTACCTTCTAGTTCGTGCTCGATGAGCTTCTTATGAGTGATGGGCTTCAGGCAGTCTAGCACGATCAGGATGAGGTTGCAGGTGCGGGCCGTGGCGATGACCTGCCTGCCACGTCCCTTGCCATCCTTGGCCCCCTCAATGATCCCTGGCAGATCCAGCAGCTGGATCTTGGCCCCACGATACCTTATCACCCCGGGCACACAGGTCAGCGTGGTGAACTCATAGGAAGCCACCTGCAGTGTTTGGAGGCACAGGAAGGCTGGGAAGTCATGCCGAGACCATCTACGAGCAGGAGATGAGCAAGAGGTTGCCTCTGACAACATCAGTCGGTCGTGCGACCCGTTCTTCTTCTCCTTCTGGTAACATTCGGATTATCATACACCCTTCACACCAACACCTCGCCCATCTCTGCATCACCATCCCCTGCCCTGGGCACCCCACCGCCACCACCCAATGCAACTGGACTCAGTCAGTCTCTCTCACCTCCGAGAATGTGCCTGTAAGCTTGTTCAACAGCGTGGACTTGCCCACTGATGGGAACCCCACCAGGCCCACTCTTGCGTCCCCAACCTTGTTCACATCAAAGCCATCGCCCTTGCCGCCGCCGCCAGCACCACTTGAAGGCTCCAGCAGCTCTCGTCGAAGCTTGGCGAGCTTGGCCTGTCGAGGGTAGCTCACACGTCACATTACTGGGCTGGAGTGAATGTCGCTGGTGTCATGCACGAACGAGAGTCGTCCACTGTTTGAGCTCACCTTCAGCATGCCCAGGTGCCCCGCCGTGGCCTTGTTCTTCTGGGTCTTGGCCATCTCATCTTCGATATCCTTGATCTTCTGCAGCACACTCATGATTCAATCGATGATGATCGGTGAAGCTGGATGTGGTGTGGGAGTGAAGGTTGGATGTCTCCCCAGCGACGCCGTGCACTGGTTGCGTGGGCCGGCGATAGTTACCCGAGGGATGCAATTGGAATGACGAAGACTATATGAACGCGTTTCTAAATGCGGAATCAGTCGTAATGGTCCCACAGCCTCTGATTGCTGCATGATTTTACGTATCGGCTGGCCTGCTGCTAGGAGGTGCGCCACCGGTGCACGATGGTTTGTCTGTCTCAGTTCAGATCCCCAGGTCTCCCTCTCGAAAATTCATGAATCCTCGGATGCACGCCAGCCATTAGAAAGCTTAGTCCTTGCAGAAATTCCTTTGGGATATCGCTAGCGTGATACCATCCGACGCAGAGTGTTGCTCGTTCTACCGAATTGGAGCTGTCCCGTGCCAACAGGCTGGTCTCGCTGCATAGCGTGGCGCCATGAGTTTCATGGATGCCCGCGAGCATGGCTCTAAGCCAGGCTCCGGTGCAGTATCGGCCAACCAGGAGGTGAGAGGTGATTGCGATACGCTGGAACATGCACGTCGCCACCGCCCTCCTTCCCGGTAGGTTATGGACCCTCAAGTCATCATTCTGCTTGTTTCGTTCTGACCAGGCTGTGGATCGGAGGGAGCGTCTCCGTCGGCTAGCACTTGAGACGATAGACCTTGCCAAGGACCCTTACTACTTCCGCAATCATCTAGGCCAGGTGAGGTTGACGTGCTGTACGAGCCGGTGCATAACTGCACTAGATGAGCATGCGGCTCAGGAAGTTGTTGGGGCTGGAGGGTCAAATGAGAAGTTGTGCATGGCCCTGACGCTCCTGCCTCCGAGCCTGGTGCCCACCCTTCTGCAGATCGAGTGTCGGCTGTGCCACACCCTCCACACCAACGAGGGAAACTACCTGGCTCACACGCAAGGCAAGCGTCATCAGCAGAATCTGGCCAAGCGTGCTGCAAGGGAAGCCGCGGAGCAAGAGATTGCCCCTGCCCCCCAGCGCCGAGTCGCGATTCGGAAAACAGTAAAGATTGGCAGGCCTGGCTATCGTGTGACCAAGGAGTTTGACCCAGAGCTGGGTGCCCGGGCCCTTTTGTTTCAGGTGCAAGGAAGTCTTAGGGCCCAGGCCTTGAGGGAGATCTGATGAGTGCCCCTTAGAGCGCTTGGGCAGGGATTGTGTCATTGGAGGGCGCAGTGGATACAGTTGCATTCCTCGCCACCACGAGCAGGGCTTCCTGCAACCGCGTTCAGTCAGTGCATGCCCAGCGCTATCATCTCCCAGTCCACACCTATATCACATTGCCTGCTACACGCCGCAGATTGAGTACCCGGAGATCGAGGAGGGGTTCAAGCCTCGCCACCGCTTCATGTCTTCATATGAGCAGCGGAAAGAGCCTTGGGACAAGCATTACCAGTACCTACTCTTTGCGGCAGAGCCTTACGAGGTCATTGCCTTCAAGGTGCCGACCCTGGAGGTGGACCGACACCAGACCGACCGCCTGTTCAGTCACTGGTACGAGGAACGATCTTGAAATGGTTGGTGCAGGATCAGCTGGCCATCCGCTGCCGGGAGCACTTTATAGTTGTTCCATTGCCCGACACACATGTCTGCTCCTTGTCTTTGCCATGCACCGTTGTCCTTCAAACCTGAGCACCACTCCACCTCTCCCATGGCATGCAGGGACCCCGACTCCAAGATCTACAGCTTCCAGGTGCCATTCAAGCCCCAGGATGCCTCGGGACAGGTGCAGCAGCAGCCGCCGCAGCAGCAGCAGGCGCCCCAGCCATACGGGCACCTTCCACCCTTCCCCCCCAGACCGCCCATGGGGGGCATGCCTGGCTTCTTCCCTCCCCGGCCCCCGCCAGTTGGGTTCAGGGGGTTTCCTCCACCACCTCCTGGTGGCATGGGTTTCCCGCCCCCACCTGCTCGCATGGTGTGATGTGTGCTTGACACTGCAAGGTGGGCAGTCAGGTGTGGCAACAGGCCATGGCACCCAGGGAGTAAACAGGACAGGGGGAAGCAGGGAAGCAAATGGGTCCCATGATGAGAGACCACTGAAGCACAAGCTGTGGTCTACATGAAGTTGTCCTGTGGCAAGCGGAGTGGGGCGGGGTGGGATGTGGGTGAGTGCAGGGGCTCATCTTGGGCTGGTCCAGCTGGGGTGTCGCAGACAAGCAAGCAGCTCGCTGCAGGCTTGAGAGGCGTCTCCTGTTCCCCTACCGGCATGACCACTCGACCATCCTCACCTCATAGTCTTCAACATTCTCATACGTCTGGGCCATATCTTTGCTGGTCTTCATGTTTTCCTCAAGCATGATGGCGTCGTAGGATCTCCGCGCCTTTTCCTCCTGCTGCTGCTTCTTCAGCGCCTTTTCTCTGCTCTCCTCCTCCTGAGCAGGGCAACCAGGTGGCGAGATTGACAGCCTGAGCGGGCATGCTGCATACAGCTACCGTACAGCGCATTGCCTGGTCAGGCAAGGAGGAGGATCATGCAGAGACGCTGCCCAATGCAGAAGCCTTGGGCAGCGTCTCAGAACATCCCTTCCACATCAATGCCCGTCCCTTGCTTAGGCTTCACAGAAACGCATCCATACCTGTAGTCGCGCCTTTTCCTTTCCCCTCTGTTCTCGGTCATACGCGGCCCGTTCAGCTTCGAGGTCTACGTGCCGCTCCTCCTTGGTGCGGTTCAAACGGTTGACGATCTCGTTAATACGCTTCAGGATGGGCACCCGGATCACCGCACTCTGGTGGTGGAAGCCCACCTGCCCAACGTCCATGCCGGCCGTCTTCCTCAGGTTGCTGGCGGGGGTGTACACCACATGCAGATTGTTCTGCTTGTTCCCCTGAATGGAGTTGGCCTTCACCAGTTGCAGGCAGTCCTCCAGGGTGTCGGGGGGGATGTCCTGGATGGCCACGCCCTCGGGGAGGCGCAGGTACACGTGGGCAGAAGACAGGCTGTCCACGTGAAACCAAACGTCCATGGGGAGAGAGTGCCTGATCAGGTGCTCGTTCTCGAATTTGTCGGCGCCCTGGGTGAATGGGGAGGGGTAGACCGGAGTAGGATGGCATGCATGCGGACATCGACCCGTGTAGTCAGGGAATGCATGAGTACCATGCACCCTGATACCAGCAGCATTGACTGAGACTCCAATCACGCAGCTAGATCACCATGTAGATGAGGTAGTCATCCTTGCCAGGGCCGTATCCCCGCGGCTGGAAGTAGAAGACCATGGCAACCGGCCGGGGGTGTTTGGCCGCCTCCCCTCGTAGGCAGCAGAGAAATCAAGTCTTGATATGCTCTGTATCGACACCCATGTAGATGCGTGTTCCTTCAGCGGGCCACAATGCCGTGACCTTTCATTCATTGGGACGACCGTACACTGTAGACGGGATCGGAAATCGCGCGCGCAAAAATTAAGTGATCTGAGGTCGCACTCGAAATGCATATCAACACCCTTGACAGCAGATGTCCAATCAATTCACTGGGATGAAAATATGATATACACATGGAACGTGATAGCAGTCTGCAGGGGTGCCCCAGGGCACCGAGCTTGTTGCTGCGATTGTACCCCAGCCAGCCGCTGCTCACACTCCGGGACCTTCTGATCCGACTCTCGCAAGCCTCGCCCCAGGCCAATTCCCTTTGCGATACCCTTGCGAAGGCTTATGATCCAAATGAATACGTACGTGGTCTGCTGTCCTCAACATGGTGCTTGGTGGGTCCGGGTGCTCCGGACCTTGGGCCCGACTTTGGCTTGGCGCAGTTCTCGAGCCAGGAACAGGTACGAAAACAGTCAACCAGGGAGATGAGTGCTCGGAATAGCATACCGTTAGTAAGGATGGCATCCTATGTGCAGCATTGTGCCTGTCGTTTTGCCCCTGGTATTACAGACTTGATACAATGACAGTCCCTTGCGATGTGCTCATCTGCTCCCTCGGCAGCCCATTTGCCATATGGCCCTCGCCTTACCCAGACTCGATCTCGACGACCCACGTGGGGCAGGTGGTGCGTCTGGCGGTGGGCCGGCTGCTGCTCTCGCCCAACACCCGCGCCAACGTGCTCTGCGCCGGAGCCAAGGCGGAGGCCCCTGGCCGGGCCAGCCTGGGCAGTCTCGGCCTCGGCCTGGCCTCGGAGCCCTGGCGGCTGCTGCTTAGTCGCATCGGGGACACCCTGATGCTCTACCTCCTGCTGCACTGCAGCATGTGGAGCCGGGTTCCCAACGGCACGGTGGTGCAGCTGACGGGCCCCCCTATGGCACGAATTGCCAGGGCCAGCGTGTTTGGCCGGAGGCCCGAGGCCGCAAGGGCGCCGGGCGCACCCGCCAGCGCGAAGCTGGAGCCAGGTCAGCAGGTTGAGCACCCACTTGGCACCGGCCAGGCGACAGCGCCGTGTCAGGCAGCAGCGCCTCAACAAGCAGCAGCGCCCCAACAAGCACCAGCGCCTCAACAAGCATCGGCGCCCCAACAGACGATGGCTGCCTCCCAGGACAGTACCACCTACCTGCTGGGACCCACTGGGATAGAGCAGGTTTGCGGCAGGAGACCGGCCGCCCCGTCCAGGCGACCATCCAGCTGGAGACGAAGAAGGGAGGCCATTCGCAGGGCAGCTGCAGCGTCGAACGGCTCCTTTGACATCCCTCCCACCCAGGAGGTCCTCCCGGCCGAGTGCCAGGAAGGGCCCGAGGGTCCCTGCGGCCCTCAGCTTGGCTTCGCAGGCTCCCGGCCACAGCATGCGCAGCAAGCCCGTGCATCGCCCTTCCAGCCCGCACAGCGCCTGGCGGCCATGCAGCTGCCCCGACAGCTCATCTTCTACAGCGCCACCTTCTCGGGGCGGGCCGGGCTGCCCTCACAGCGTACGTCCAGGGTTGTTGTGTTTTTGTGGGTTCAGGATGACAAGTGGCTGCGGCGGGTAAGCTTTCATCCCTACCAATGTCGGGCACCAATCAGGTGATTACAAGTCGTCATGCCCCCACCAATCCACCACGCAGATGTCCTGAGGCAGCTGAGCAAGCAGCCCAAGAAAGGGCGCCACCTGTACTCCATCATTTTCCAAGGTCAGCCTTGCACCAGCTACCACAGCCGGCAGCCACCGCCTGCAGTCCCGGCCAGGCTGAGGGGTCGAGTGCCTCAAGCCCAGGCCACCATCGAGAAATTGCTGGCGCGACTTGCAGGTATGACCTGAGGGGCATTGGGGGTTTGGGGAGGGCCAGGAGGACCTGTGCACTGCTAGCATGTTGCTACCCAGATGAGTATGAATCGCCCTGCCGCTGAAGTGGGCAGATGCTCTGGCCGTAGTAGACATACCAAATGTACTCGCCAAGCCCCTCTTGGCCCTGCAAGCCAAACTGCCCCCCAACGCCCTACCCTCTTCCCATCGCAGTGCGGGCATCCAGGTGCCCCTTCGGCGCTTTGCTGGAAGCAATCTGCCCCCTGCCCGCCGCCCTGTGCGCCCCACCCCCCACCGCGCCTGGCCCTACTTCGGTGCGCGCAGCGTGCACAGCGCGCCTGGAGCAGGCCATGGACGCCGTGCACGCCGCCCTGGGCGAGGCCTCTCGCAACGCGGGGCTGCGCGGCGGCAACCCCCGCTCCCTGCTTTCCACCCAGGCGAGCACAGCAGCCTGCCGGGAGGGGCGCCGCGCGCGGCCCCCCCCGCCGCTCCTGACGTCCCCCCACGAGACACCCGGGCCCCCAAAGAGGCCCAGGCTGGGGACTGGCCTCCCCGTCTCGCCCCACGAGGGTCCTTGCAGCGGGGCTCAGAGCCCGGCAGTGGCGCCCACGCCGGAGGCGCCCCCGCCGCCCCCGCCGACCCAGTTCGTCCCGCTGCCCTCCCCCGGGCTGGACCTCACGCTGCGAACGCCGAGCGGCGCAAAGGCGCGCACGGCAGCTGCCGCGCTGCTGCGCACGCCCACGGCGTGCGCGAGACGGTGCTGCCCGCCCCCCCGCCCGCCGCGCCGGCCCGCCTGTCCACCGCTGACGCCTGCGTCTCCCACGCCCGGGTGGCTGCCTTCCTCTGGGCCTGCCTGCGCCGCATCGTGCCGGCCCAGATGCTGGGCCGCGGCCGCACGCTGCGCGCGCTGCGCTCCGCGGTGCGGCGTTTCGTGGGCCTGCGCCGATACGAGGGCATGAGCCTGCATGCAGCGCTGCAGGGCGTCAAGGTCTCCGACTTCCCCTGGCTGGGGGCCTGCCGGCCCGCCAGCGCAGCGTGGGCGGCCAGGCGGCGCCTGGTGAACTGGATTGCCTGGCTTTTCACGCAGCTCGTCATCCCGCTCCTGCGCTGCCACTTCTACGCCACGGAGGGCGACGGCGCGCGCCTCCACGTCTTCTACTTCAGGTGGGAGGAGAGAGGGGGTTTGGGTGCGCAGGGGTTGAAGGGAAGGTGCAGCGGGGGGGGAGTGCATGTCAGGCAGCCCAGGCCAAGAGGAGCAAACACGACGCAGATAGATGTCCGACACCGGTCTCCACCCCCCGGCCCCCTCCCCGGCCGGCCAGGAAACCGGTGTGGGTGAGGCTGCGTCGCACGACGCTGGACGACCTGGTGCGGTCGCAGTACCGGGTGGTACCACGCCTGCATGCCCTGGAGCAGCTGCGGCTGCGGTCCCTGGGCGTGGCGAGGCTGCGCTTCCTGCCCAAGAGAGCGGGTACGAGGCGTGTGGCTTTCTCCTCTGCTTGGGGCTGGTGTGGAGCCGATGGTATTTGGAACGCACTCCTTGGAGGCCAGGCATGGCGGTTTTTGGGGCTCGGGGTGAGGCATAGCAGCAATGTTAGGATGAGCGATTGCATGGTGACAACTCCAGCAAGGATAGTTTTTTCCACCGGGCCGATTGTACGACTTCTCTCCCTCTGTCAAATGTCGCGATACAGGTGTACGTGTCATCACCAACCTAGGCAAGCCCTCCACGGTGGGCTTCAGTGTGCCGCCGCGAGCGGGGGCTCACAGGGACAGGCGTGGCCGGGTCGTGCTCAAGTTCCGATCTGTGAACGAGACGCTGCAGGACGTCTTCCAGGTGAGTTCTTGATGGGAGGGAGGTTGAGGGAGGGGACGTCGCGTGGTGTCTGGAAGGATAGAGAGGGGAATCACGGTCCAAGCACCCTGCGCAAACACCTCCACCCGTCCAGCCCCCTCCATGAAACACTCCGCCATCACAATTCTGTCCAGGTCCTGCGATGTGAGATCGTGCGGCAGCCCTGGGTGCTTGGGGGCTCGGTGTTCGGCATGAACGACACCTACTGCCGCCTGCAGCCTGTCCTTCGACGCTGGCGGGCGGCACGAGTACAGGCCGGCGCGCTGGCCGCGGCAGAGCCGGTGCCCCGCGCCTTCCTGGCCACCATGGACGTCTCCCGCGCCTTTGACAACATGAATGCCGAGGCGGTGGTCCGCCTCGTCGCGGGCCTGCTCACCTCCCAGCGCTACTCCATGGTGCAGTACACCGAGATCACGCCGCGCGCCGGCGGCAGCCTGACCGTCCGCTCGCGCCGCTGCGCTCTGCCGGCAGACGACCCCGCCGGCCCCGGCCCCGGCCCCGGCGCCGGGCACACCCACGTGCTCTGGAGCGGCCTCGGTGCCGGGCGCGGCGTGCAGACCGGCGGCGTTGTGGGCACCGTCACGCGCCAAAGCGTGCTGGCCCTGCTGAGCCAGCACCTGCAATGCAACCTGGTCAGGCTGCGCCGGCGCTGGCACGCGCAGGCACGGGGCGTGCCCCAGGGCTCCACGCTTTCCACCCTCCTCTGCTGCATGTACCTGGCCCACGCCGAGGCCGCCGCGCTGGAGGAGGCGGCGGCGGCCAGGGGGCGACTCACCCTGCTGGCGCGGGCGGCCCGCTGCGAGGGAGGGCCTGCTTCCCAGGCTGCAGAGGCCTCCATCGGGTCGCGGCTGGGAGAGGCGGTGCCGGCGGGGGTGGGGGTGTCAGGGTGTCAAGGCGAGGCAACCTCTGTATCAGGTTCGTGCACCAACAGAGGGACTCCCGTGCTTGCGCGGCGCCCCAGGGACAACACCCCCCTTCCCCCCTGGCCCCCCCTGGCAACCGCGACCCCACCACCCCGGCCCCGCCAGAGCGCCCCTTGCTCCTGCTCCTGCGCCAGATGGACGACTTCCTGCTGCTCAGCAGCGAGGGCGCGGTGGCCGAGGCCTTCGTGGAGCGTCTGGCCGTCGGCTTCCCGGACCTCGGCATCGCGGTGAACTCGCTGAAGACGCGGACCAGCTGGGGCGGCGGCGAGCGACTGGTGCGCAGTCGCTGCGGCGCCGCCTTCCTGCCCTGGTGCGGCCTGCTCCTGAACGTGACCAGCCTGGGGGTCCAGGGCGACTACACCCGCTACCACGGCGACCAGGTGCGCTGGTCGGTCGGCGCGGCGCCCGCGCGCGGCGGCGGCCGCGGCGCGCGCGCGGGCGCGGCCCTCCCCACCAAGACCGTGGGCTTCCTGCGCCCCAAGGCCCACCCCCTGCTCCTGGACGCGCGGTTGAACGGGCGCGAGACGGTGGCCCTCAACATCTTCCAGGCCTTCTGCCTGGCGGCCATGAAGGTGCACGTCTACATCCGCGCTCTGGCCACGCCGCCCGCCCCCGCCCTGCTTGCGCGCGCGGTGGAGGAGGGCATCGCCTTCGTGGTGCGCGCCGCGGGGCCGCGTCGCGTGGCGCCCGTCTTCCCCACCGCGCCGCCCGTGCGCTGCAGCAGCCGCACGCCGCCCGCCCACGTCCGCTTCCTGGGCCTGGCCGCCTTCAGGCGGGTACTGGGCAGGAAGCAGAGCGGGTACGCCGCCCTGCTGGCCTGGATAGACGCCGAGATGGACAGCCCGGGCCTCAGGTCGGCCGCGCAGCTGCTGCAGCCTGTGATCCACCCAGACAGGTCCTCCATCCTGGACGCCATCCTATACTGACATGCTTTGTGGTGCCTCTGTGCTGCCGCGCTGCAGCCAGCTGCAGAGCCATGGCAGCAGGGCTGCATAGTTCCATGAGACAGTTCGTAAGGATCTGCTTGGGTATGCATTTGTAATGATTGGTGGCCCAGCGGAAGCCCCATATGCTAAGGATGTTTTGCCCCTGGATCTTCATTCGCGCATATCCGACTACCTCAGCGCGCTCGCAATCTCGTAGCGGTAAGCGAATGCAAACCAGCACGCAAATGGCGCCGCTGCCCCAACTGCCTGGAACATTCTCATCAATGCATATAAACGCACGCCAACCAAACACATCCAGCTCGTTCCAGTGCCGCTCCTGCGAGCGGTGTCGCGCCATGCTCCACACAGCTCGCGCTCCACCGTCGTCCCAGCAATTCCTCGCCTTCACCAGCCATTCGGTCTCGAGAGCTTCGTCTCATCCAAAGAGGAGATGGGTGGCCCGGCAGGTGAGGAACGCTGTCTCAGCCCGCCTGATCTTAACACGTGCCGGGGCCTGAGTCCCCTGGCCCAACCCCAAGGATCCCCTCCCTTCCCCGGCTCCTACCTTGCAGGCGAGCTCCGCCCCCCCCTCGCTGCAGTCCCAGCAAGCGTCCGGGGAGCTGTGGCGACGTGACTTTCCCATCCTTGACCAGAGCGTTCACGGCCACCGGCTGGTGTACCTGGACAATGGCGCCACCAGCCAGAAGCCTGAGACGGTCATCCGGGCGCTGGATGACTACTACCGCTCCTACAACTCCAACGTGCACCGCGGCGTGCACGCCCTGAGCGCCAGGGCCACCGCTGCGTACGAGTCCGCGCGCGAGAAGGTGGCCGCCTTTGTCGGCGCCGCCTCGTCGCGCGAGATCGTGTTCACGCGCAACGCCAGCGAGGCCATCAACCTGGTGGCGCAGACCTGGGGCACGGCCACGCTGCGGCCGGGGGACGAAATCCTGCTGTCGGTGGCGGAGCACCACAGCAACCTGGTGCCCTGGCAGATGGTCGCTCAGCGCACGGGCGCCGTCCTGAGGTGAGGGGCCTGAGTGGTGGGCGGGGGCTGTTGATGCTTGGAATTCGCCTTTGCCTTTGCTGTCTCCTCTCACTAGTTTGCCCGCCAGACCTGTGCTGTAGGTCGCTTGCTGGGATAGTCCCTTGGGATCGTGCTCGCACACCTTGATGTGTGTGCCACTGGCACCAGGCACGTGTGCTGCCAAGTTCGTCCCATGCCCTCTCAACCCATGTTCAAAGTTTCTGCCCCGACTCTCCCTCTTCCCCTCCTCCCCACCCCCAAAAGGCATGTCCCGCTAACCAAGGACACCGAGGAGCTGGACATGGCCGCCTTCCACGACCTCCTCTCCCCGCGGACGCGCCTGGTGGCGCTAGTCCACGTCTCCAACATGCTCGGCTGCATCGCTCCCGCCGCCGAGATCTGCGAGGCCGCGCACGCCGTGGGCGCGCGGGTCCTCCTGGACTGCTGCCAGTCCGTGCCCAACATGCCCGTGGACGTCGGCCGGCTGGGCGCCGACTGGATCGTCGCCTCAGCGCACAAGATGTGTGGGCCCACGGGCATCGGCTTCCTCTGGGGCAGGCAAGCTGGTTGATTTTGGGGGTGCGAGCGGGGGACCCAAGGCTTGCGGCCGTCCTCAGCGCAGCGACGCACCTCTTTCCTGTGGATGCACCGAGAGTGGGCAGGCATGCTCACCAGGTGCCTAGTCCTGTGTGCTTGCCATGCGACCCAGACCATCCTGAACTATCGCACACTGTCCGACCTTCACCCAGGTACGAGCTGCTGGAGTCCATGCCGCCCTGGATGGGCGGCGGCGAGATGATCCAGGACGTGTTCCTGGACCGGTCGACGTACGCTGCGCCGCCCTCACGCTTCGAGGCGGGCACGCCCGCCATCGCGGAGGCGATTGGCCTGGGCGCAGCCTGCGACTACCTCACAACTCTTGGCATGCACCGCGTCGACGCCTATGAGCGGGAGCTGGGCGCGCACCTCCACGAACAGGTGTGAGGGAGGGGGGGGGGGGAAGGGGGGCGGGCGGCGGCGCAGGCTTCTAGGAGAAATGGGTGGGTGGGCGTTCTCTTGTCTCTTCATATTGATACATGGACTCGGCACGTGGCATTCCCTCATGTGCTGACATATGCACTCCAGAATCCCACCGCTCTGCATCTGTCCACCCTCTGCAGCTGCAGGCTGTTCCCGGGGTCCGGATCTATGGGCCCGGGCCCGAAGAGGGCGTGGGGCGGGCAGCGCTGGCTTCCTTCAACGTGGATGGCATCCACCCCACCGACATCTCCACCATCCTGGACCAGTCTGGTGTGGCGGTACGCTCCGGCCACATGTGCACCCAGCCGCTGCATCGAGAACTGGGCATCTCCGCCTCGGTGCGGGCCGCGCCCTACCTTTACAACACAAAGCACGAGGTTGATGTGTTTGTGGAGGCGCTCAAGGAAGCCATATCCTTCTTCACGATGTGATGCTGGGGAGGACCGTCTTGAGGGAGCTCCAGCCGCTGGTGGGCGCGGTTCCCGTCAAGTCGACAGGGCCATGAGTGGGAGCAGGAGACCCGATTCTTGTGCATGCCTGCGCGTCGAGCGAGCAAAGAAGGCTCACTTGAAGAACCTGCCAAAGCCCTTGCGCTGCTTGGCGGCCTGGGCCTTTTCCTGCGAGGCCAGCCGCGCTGTTTCCCTCTTGGCGTCCGGCTCAAGGGAGGCGTCAATGTTGACGGCGGCCTGCAGGTCCTCGCGGGCCGATGCGTACTCCCCCACCAGTGCCAGGGCCGCAGCTCGGCGGAACAGCGCCTTGGCACATGCTGGGTCCACCCTGTAGGGGTAGAGGGGCGGAAAATGGAGAGACCTCGCCAGGGCATGGGCGTGTGAGCGATGAGAACGGTGGCCGGTCAAAGGATGAGAATAGGGAGGTGAGGTTTTATGCCCTCCCTTCTCAGCATGCCACGCTGGTGTATTAGAGGAAGAGTGTGTGCATCCAGAAGGCAGAGATGACCGGTTGCTCTGCCCCCGGCCACTCACTCCAGGGCCTTGTTGCAGTAGTGAATGGCCTCCGCTGCCTCCCGCTGCTTTGTTGCACACAGCGCCAGGTTGAGATAGCAGGAGACCTGCCAGGGTAGATGAAAGTGGCAGGCATTGGGTGGGTGGGCACAAGGCACAAGGGCGGGGCCATGACCGATCAGCAGACAAAATCTCCCCGAGCCCTGCTTGCCTGCAACGTCTGGCTCTGCTCATAGGTCTGGTCGTCTGCATAATCCACAATCCGTTCCACGACCTTGGATGCCTTGAGGTACTTGGCTTTGGCCAGCTTAAGAAGCTCCTAAAAAAGTTAGGGGATGGTGCACACTGGGGCCCACGAGTGGCTGCAGGCACGCCGAGGGCATGAGCCTGCCAGTGTGGTCCCACCATCGCTCTCTCCCGCCCCCCCCCCTCCCTTCCTCAACCCCCAGCAGTCAGCATCCTACTCACCCTCTTGAAGAGCATATTGCCCTGGTCCTTCCACTTGGAGGCCACCGTCAGCCGGCCGGCAGTCGTGGTGTCCTCCCGGATCTGGTCCCGCTCAAAGTGCACCAGCTCCACCTCGAACTCCAGGGTGTCCCCCTCGGTGACTCCCTGCAGCAGCCAAAGTAGGTGTCGTCAGCCGTAGCCTTGGGAGTCCAAAGGAAGGACACGAGACCTTCAGGCTCGGGTTCAAGAGCATTGCCTGGTTGCTGCCCCACTGTGCAGGATGCCCTTCCTAAACATACCACCAGCCACGAACCTGCGGCGCATCGGCACGACCCTGGTATGCATATCGCCAGCTGGACGTCACGAGCGCGACCTCACCCTCCAACATCAATCGCACCGCCATGTCCACCGCCTGGGAACAAGCAAGGGGGAGCGGAGTTGTTGCACCTGGGCTCCCAGGGGTTGAGTAAACCGTGCATGGCAGTCACGATTAATGGTCCTGTCCGCCACCAACACCCTCATCCCTATCACAATTGCGTGGTTGGCTTACGTCTGGCACAGTGGCCATCCCGGTGTCAAACTCGATGGGCCTCTGCGCATCGCCTGCGGAGCGGGTATCAAACACCCAAGCCTCCCCCGTGCCCTGCCTCCTCACACTGAGTCAGACGGGAGGTGGGCGTGAGCATGGCTGACTCGGTGGGGTGCACACTGCTGGCATCGCACCGCAGCCCAGAGATGGAAACCCCCAATAACATACCGCCAGTGGGCCTGGATGAGGCTGTCCTCCACCGGGCAGTCTACCGGGAACACACCCTCGCCCTGTTGCATGATCGTCTTGACCAGCTCCCCGCTCCCAGTCAGGTCCCGGACCTGGAGATTGGCCAGTGGGGGGTGGGGGAAACTGAAATCCAGCTGCACAGCAATCGAACTTGCAGCAAGTGTCGCGACCCCCAGCCTGCACCTGGGTGAAGTCGAGCAGCTCGATGGCAAACTCTGCGCGGCCGCTCCCACTCGCGTCAGGGTCCGGCACCAGGGTCCCACCCGAGGCTGCCTCGTGCGGGCAGGTGACAATGCTCCGCTCGCCTCGCACCATGGAGTGCAGAGCAGCGTCAAGGCCTGGAGTCATTTGTGTGAATGAGGGATCGCTCAGGCATGAGGTTGAGGTTTGCCACTTGTCCAGACGCACACAGCATTGTCCAGACGCCGGCAGCACCCCCCCCCCCTTTCCCCTGACTGCTTCACCTGGGGGAAGCTGCCCAGAGCCGAGCGTAGCCTCCAGGGGCGTCCCACTTTGCATCGTGAAGTAAGTTTGACTGGCACCCAGAGGTCTGTCGTCGCTGGAGGGAGTGGAAGCCCTGAGGTGGAGCTTGACCTGTGCAAGATGGATGATTAGTGGGGTTGGGGGGGGGGAGGTGGAACACCTAACTCCAATCTATCTCTCTTCTCTCCCCTTCTCCTAGGCACGACCCCCCCCTTCCCAAGACCTCCCGGCGCCCCTCCCGCCATGCACACCTTATAAGGAGCCCGGGGGGTCTCAAAGTCCCTCCCCGCCTGCTCCGTGACCTTAAATGTATCCTCGGCTGCCAGCACTGCTCGCACTGTCCTGCCCGGCACCACCTCCACCAGCTGCAAGGGGAGAGTGAGTGCTGTAAATCACACCCTCCACTTCGACTTGCCAGATCTAACCTCAGTCCCCTCACCTCCAACTCCAAGCCTTCACCTCCACCTCCCATGCTCACCTCCACCTCCGCGTGGATGGTGTCCCCCTTGCGAAGCCCAGGAGGTATATCGAGCACCCAGGTCCTGTGCTGATAGGCGTAGCCTGGCTGGATGTCAAGCACAGCTCGCTCCCCCCGCCGCATGCCTACGCGGGTCTCGCTGGCGGGCACACTCAGTCCGGTCGGCAGAGCAGCCGTCTTTGCATGTGCATGCTCGATTCGCTCAAGACCTCGTCGCCCCAGCACCTCTTGCCCCTGCCAGCTCACCTCGCACTGCCAGTTCCAGGCCCTTCAGCAGGTTCTTGGACTTGCCGAGGATGAATGGCTGGGGGTGGCCCTGCCCCCCATCCTCGGGCCTGGTGCTTGTGAGGTATGAGTTCCCCTTGCCGATCCGGAGATGCAGGAAGACCTGTATGGGTGGGTCGGGTGGGTTGGTGGGCGGGTACGAAGCTGCCTGCACAGCGAGACGTTGTCATCATGCCCTTTGCAGAATCCCCTTACCAGATCGTTTGTGGCAGGTACCTCTCCCGATCCCTCGTTCAAGGTGGCCTTTAGGATGGCGCCCTTTGATAAGTCCTCTGCTTGTCTGTTGGATGAGCTTGTCGGCATGTGTCGCTCTGATCAGGTCGAGGTCTTCTGCATAATCCCATTCCCTTCCTACTGAAACCTGTGTGCCCCCCCCCTTAAAATCAAGATTCCGTGCGGGTCTTCCATCCCTTGCTCACTGGAAGTCGGCTTCGTCGTCGATTCCCTTTTCGTCGACATTCGGTTGTAGTTCCAGCGTCTCCCTGTACACCTGCAACTGCAGCAGCGCAAGGCAGGACTGGAATGCGGAGGCCATCGTGTGCAGTCTCGGAGGACTCTCCCCTATTCTGCCTAGGTGGATACTGCGGGACAAGGAAGACGCTGGCTTCAATTAATGAACATATTGTGTAGTCGCATTGCGCTGAGACGCGCTGCATTATCAGGCCTTGTACCCTCGACACAGAGTGTTGAAAGGGTTTGGTACACATTACGTAAGTTTGTGACCTGTGATCCCAAATCCGAGACATGACGAGCAAGATCTTCACACTCGTAGAAATGAACAGTGTGCCGGTCACAAGATCAAAGGTTCAAGCACTCTTCAGGCAGACACAAGGGCGTCATTGTCGGTGGCAAACAGGTGGACCTCATTGTGACGGTTCAGGAGCTTTTGAGGCGCATCATACACAGCCGCCAGCAGTCCCTGCGCCACAGGTGAAATGGGTAGCAGGGTGAAGGTGTGCATGAAACGATATCTCCCAAACCAATCATAACCAAATGAGCCCAACAGCGCAACCAAAGAGCCCTTCCCATTCCGTGCCTTGGGCTCGAAAGACTTCCCCTCCTTGCTCAGCACATCCTGGAGCGCCACAGCCTGCTCCACAATGTTTCCTGTGAGGTAGTTTGCGGCTGGAATTTGATAGTTGCAGCCAGATCCATGCTTTGAAGGTATGATAGTCACCATGCCATCCCCAAATCTGTCCGAGGCAAGGATGCCCTCACCCTCTGAGGCGTAGCCACCGAAGACCCTGACGTAGCGGGTCGTCTCGGGGTAGGTCACAATCTCGAGCTCAGGGTCCGTGGGCTTAGGGATCTCCTGCACCAAAATAAAGGGGTGGAAAATGTCAGTCGGCGGCAACACAGATGCAGCTTGATACTCTCTGGTGCGTACAGTAGCAGGAGGAAATGCATTCTCGATGACTCAGGTGCGGATTATAACCGAACTCCCTACCTCGATGTGGCGAGAGATGAACCATCCAAAGGTGTATGCCTTCTTGGTGCCCTTCCTGTCATCATCCAGCTCGAGGTACGACACGGTGGGGGTGGTGATGTTCAGGTGCGTGCCCTTGTCATTCTGACCCTTGAAGTACTTGAGCAGGCGCTGCAGCGGACAAGGAGGAGGGTTTGAGTTGTGAGGTAAGAGGACCTAGATAGACGCGGTCTGTTGCCAGCACAACAAGGATACATTCTTCCAACCCGATGGGTCACAGAATGCATGCGACTACACACTGATTGCTCACCGTCGTGGCCTTGGGGTAGGCTACGGTGTAGAACGAGTCAGTCACATTGGTGATGACCCACTTCTCTATGTGTTTGTGTTGAGGAGCCATTGGCGTGGGAAACGCGTTCCGGGTTAACTTCAGCATTAACGCTCAAAACCGACACCAGCGACTCTTACCCTCGTCGTATGTTCGCACTTCGTAGTTATCAGTCTCTTTCACCAGCTTGAAGGGGGGGCACTCGGAGTCTCTGCAATAAATAATATAAGTATCGCCAACATGGATTTGACCATCACCTCGTTGATTGAACTAAAGGTGTAAAGCGACGCGAGAATCTGAAGCTGGGGAAGATTCCACATACCCTGCAACAGACGCGCATGGTCCCTAGCAACCTGATCCACTCCACCCATCAAGCAATGCGCCCACCCGCAGAAATCGGGCTGCGTCTGGCTCCCCTGGACGGACAGATCTTCCTTAATGAAGCGAGGCATCGCAAGGCATGCCGGCAACGCCACCGCGAGGATCAGGAGAACAACAGTGCGTGCCGACGACATCGTTGATGGAAATGCGATTGGATTTATGATAATCGCGTGGGTAAAGTCTGGATGCCGTCAAGGTGCCAAGCATCTTTAGTGTCGGCATCGGGTTTGTCCGCCTCGCGCGACATGAAGCTGGGGTGCAGCAGCCAACCAGGTGCCAGCCTCTCAAAGCTTTGGCTGGAACAGCTGGGGCCGGCTGGGTGCGCCATGGAACATGATGTAATATATGGATATTGAATTGTTACTTTCTGAGGATGAACGATGCGATCCACGTTCGTCTGACTCGAAGGGATGCAGGCCGTACAATCATGGCAACACGAATTTTATCCTATTTCCAAGCGATGTCAGCGATCTGACTCGCCGACAATTGAATCATCTCTTCCCATCGAAGACAATGAGCATGGATAACCCTGGCAAAGCAATCTCGACTTGTATCCCCTTATATCGATATACCTCCATTCTCCTGGCCTCTGTACAACAACCAGACGTCGAGTGATCACTGCCAGCACCCTCCTCACTTGCCAACCTTCACGGTGAGGATGAGGTGAACCTTGTGGCCCCACATGCGCTGCAGCTCCATGCGCGCGCTGGTGCCCACGTGCTTGAGTGCGGCACCGTGACTGCCCACCACGATTTTCTTGACGCCCTCATGCGGCACCACAATGATGTGCTCCACGCGCATGGAGCCGTCCCGTAGCGACTTGCAGGACACCGGAACGACTGTCAGCTCGTAGGGCAGTTCTACAGGGATGTCAGAGGACAAAGTGTGTGGTTGGGGAAGCTGTGAGTGGCAAATGTTCATGGGAACGGATAGAGACGCAGTCACTTAAGCCTATGCCATAAGATGCTGCCTCTCTCTTCAGTATTATCAAGGTATACACCCAATCATGCCCGCGCTTCCAACGCACCATCGTAAAATCTCTGGAAAATCTTCTCCCTCACGATCTCGAGGGCGAGGTCTTCTGCGCTGCGATCCGTGGACATTCCTGCCTCCAGAGTCCAACGGCCAGGAGTAGCCTGACTCAGGAGGTACTCCTTCAGGCCTGGAACGCCTCTCCCTGAATGTATCATGGGAGGGGAAGGAGGAGACGTCCCGCACAGCGCCTTGCCATTGCCAGTCCCCATCGGCACCTGATAGAAGTCTGCGCTGTGTCCTCCTGTCCTCCACTCTCATGTTTGCGAAGCCGCTCCAGCTACCACATATTCTCGCCAGCCTCCATCCATAAAACATATCCTCCACCAGCAAGCGCCAGCAAGACACCCTCCTTCGCCTTTCACTCCTTCCTTCACCCCACCTTTCAGTGCGCTGACCCAGAATGTGTCTTGGAAATCGTGCAAGTCTCGGAGAGATCCTGCCAGCGATAACAGGTCTGGCCGTTGCTCTGGTGGCACCATCTCACACTTGTTGAGAACTAAGATGGCAGGCGGGAGGTCCGTCGTGCCGGCGCTGCTGCCAAGGTTGCTGATCAGACGGATGACACGCGGGTCAGGTACTTGGATCTATGTGTGGAATAGTTGGGTCAGGAGGGGGGGTGTATGGTGATAGTATCCTGGTCATACCATACACACATCAGGCAGTCTCATGCGCAACACAACCCATCACAAAGACACGGCAGGCATGCCCGGGCGCATCCACACTGGGTGGACCAGACCACCCCTGCCTACCTGTCTGTGAGCGTCCAGGATGAAGAGTACGAGGTCGCAGCTCGAGGCCGTCCCCCATGCTGACATCACCCTCGTCTCATGCCCAGCCCCTTTTATTTGCCTGCCAAAAGCATGTGTGAATACAGACTAAGATGGGGATGTCACTAGAATCTCTGTGCCCCTTTCCCCTTCGCAGCACAGGCATGCAGCACCAAAGTCAATCGGCCACCACCGCATGACAACCATGTATTCCCACTCACTCTTTACCCACAATGCCAGGGGTGTCATAGAGCACGACCTGACTCGGGCCCTGTGTATATGCTCCCAGCCGGCAGTGATGTGTGGTGTTGGTCTTGGGGGACACGGCTGATACCTGCATGTGTTGTAATTGGGGCTGGCATGGCGTCCAGCAGAACAGGGCTGGGCGGCAATGCCAGCATCTCGTGCACCTCACATCCCGCCATCCCCTCCTCCCTACCTTGGAGCCCACCAGGGCATTGGTCAGCGTCGACTTCCCTGCATTAGGAACCCCCAGGATGCCCACTTGCAGGAGGCGCTGCTGGTCTATCGGCACGTCTCTCGTTTCTAGCCCCACCGACTCCTCCCCCGCCCTGAGGACTTGGGGGAAAGCCGCGGCATAGGCTCGTGGACGGCACGAAGAAAATGCTCGTGTGGTATTAAGTATGAGAGATGACCGGGCCATGCCTATGTGCGACAGAGATGGCATGCATGCCAACTGCATATGGCCGAAGTCCGAGCGTTCCGGCCAAGCGCGCACAGAGACTGGGCGGTCTGCTAACAGCTCACTCGGCACCTAGGTATATGTCAAAACCCTACGATAGTAACAATCTGGAGGGTGGCAGGCTTTTGACCGGCAGAATGCTCTGCTTCGGAGGTCCACTCACGGTGCAGGCATATCCCATGCTTCGAAACAGTAGTACCAAAACTCGGGGCTCCGGCCATTCTCCGCTCACTGCCACTGGCCATGCTGCAGACGGATGACAATTGACCCAAGCTGACATTGCAGCGATACTGAGCCAAGTTTTTACAGAGGCGTGGCCTTGCGCTGACCTGTGTTGACCCCAGACCTTGTAGCAAGCATCCCTGACAACCAGAAAGGACTGGCCTGTCTGTGAAAGGCTTGGCTCCGTCATGTCGGAAGTGGTAAGATTATAACCGGGATCATGTGGTACTATGAGCCTGCTCCGTGAATGCTGCTCAACCTGTTGCACGGCACTTGCCCAGGAGCGGCGGGAGCATCGCCGTGAGGACCGAGACGATCGACGAGACCACAGGAGATCCAGGGATTCGGAGAGTCGTAGATCAAGGTTCGAGGATGTGGGTGGGTTGGGTAGGTGGGATTCGATCTAGCTGCCACTCCCTCCAAGATCAAGCGTTTGCATAGGTTCGGGCATGGACCATCCCATCGCTAGCCATCGCATCTCAAGCCGCATGGGCCCCTCGCAGGTCCCGAGACAGGGGCAAGGATGATAGGCGTGACGATGACAGAGACAGGTCCCGGGAGAGGAGGAGCAGTCGGCGATCCAGGTGTGTACTGCAACTCCTGGAAGATTGTTATTTGCCCCCTTTCAATGGGGCGACCTGCGGTGCCCTGCTCTCCCCCTGCAGTTGCAAACCCAGTCGCCCCTTCTTCCACCATGACTCTCTCCCCTGCAATGCAGATCACCCCGGCGCCGTCGCAGCAGGTCGCGGTCAGCCTCCCCTGCCTACGACCCTGAACGCCCCCGTCGGCGCCCCACCTGGTTCGACATCCCCCCCATCGGAGGCGGACCGCCCCCGCTCTCCTCGCTCCCTGGAGCTGTGCAGGTGATCAGCGACACCAGCATCCCCATCATGCCGGCGGGCAGCGTATTTGGAGGGGCCGCCTCGCAGCAGGCCACGCGGCATGCCAGGAGGATCTACGTGGGAGGCCTGCCCCCATCTGCAACGGAAGACGGCGTGGCTTCCTTTTTCAGGTGAGGGGGAGCGGTACCAAAATGGTGTGCCTCAGACGCAAGTTGATGCGGCACGAGTTGTGTGCTCTTGCAGAGGGGTTGCCAGTGCAGGAAAATCGCTTGCACAACCTGGCTGGGGACGCGCCCGACGCCTGACTCTTGAGCGGCATGCCCAATCCCCGCCACGCTTTCTACCACACTGTGTAGTAATGCTCTGGCGGCAGTGGGCGGCACGGTGGCCGGTCCAGGGTCATGTGTCGTCAACGTATACATCAACTTTGAGAAGAAGTTTGCGTTTGTCGAACTCAGGACGGGTGCGATGCGGAGCCTGGGAATAGGATGGCTTGATGCAAGCGCGGTGTTGTTTGCTTGATTGGCTGTTGACCCCGGGGGTTGTAGGGCACGATATTGCTCTGTGCTTCCCAAGGTCCGGCAGAGCAGCACGATTGCTCATGCGAGACTGACCATGCCACCCCAGACCACCTCTTGTTATGTCCCACCATTCCCTCTTTCCTCCACACAAAACAGTGGAGGAGACGTCCAATGCCATGGCCCTGGACGGCATCATGTACGAGGGCGTCACGGTGCGCATCCGTCGCCCCGCCGACTACCAGGCAGCTGCCGCGCTGTCCCTGGGGCCCTCCCAGCCCAACCCCAACCTCAACCTGATGGCCATTGGTCTGGACAAGAAAGCGCAGGAGGCAGCGGCCGCGGCCGTCGCGGCGGCCGCCGCCCCGCCCTCCGCACTCCCGGCCCAGCCCCTGCCTCCGGTGAGTTGGGGCTGCGGTTGTCAACAGACACTAGAATGGGAGGGGCAATGGGTCGCGGCTGAGGAGCATGCACATGAGGGTCCCCCTAGCTGGCGCATGACTGTCCCCCACCCCTTCCTCCCGCCCGCCACCCACCCTACCTCAGGAGAACCGGGGATCGGACAGGATCTTTGTCGGCGGGCTGCCCTACTACCTCACCGAGGAGCACATCCGGGAGCTGCTCTCCTCCTTTGGCGTTATCCGCCAGCTGGACATCGTCCGTGATCGCGAGACACAGCAATTCAAGGGGTGGGTGGGCTGGGATTTTGCCCAATGGGGCCAGTCAAATGAAGTCCATTGCGTTTGTATATGCCCCTCCCATGAAATCCACCAGATGCTCTCCTCATCCCCTTCGCTCGCCCCTTCACGTCCCCTCATGCACACAGATACTGCTTTGTGGTGTTTGAGGAGCAGCCCATGGCAGAGATGGCCATGGCTGGCCTGCACGGGATGAAGATGGGCGACCGCGCCCTGACGGTGAAGCCCGCCAACGACAACTCGCGCAACAACGACGGCGGGGGCGGTGCCGTGACCATGGTGGCCCCGCCCCGCGTCGTCCGCCTGCTGGAGGCTGGTGCGTAGCTTGCTTGCAATGGGAGAAGTATGGCCTACTGGTGGCTGCGTCCTGAGTGTCCGACACGGTGATGGGACGCTCTGCCAGTCCATGTGCCACCCCACCGCTGGGCGCCTGCCCCTGCAGTAGGCAGCAGGGTTTGCTGGCTCATTGGTCACCCTCCTTGAACACCAAATCGCAGTCACTCCGGACGAGCTGGCCAACGACGAGGAGTACGCCGACATCATGGAGGACATGCGGGAGGAGTGTGGAAAGTACGGCACGGTGCTCCAGGTGCGGAATAGGGGAGAAGGCTATGGTGCAGGAACGGTTGGTCTTGATGAGATCACGATGCGATCGTATTGCCCAGGGAGCCTGTCATGGCTTTTTCTTGGCGTACCAGAGGCGTGTTCCCCTTGTGCATTCACGTGGCCCTCTGCAGGCCAAGTCACCCAAAACATTTCTTTGCTGTGGTCCTTGCCCTCATCTCTACTGCGACACACCCCAAACCCTATTCTCCATGCATGCACCTACCCATGCACCCCCCCCTGATCCCTCCCCTCCCCCCTCCCCCCGCAGGTCCACATCCCGAGGCCTGGCCCCCCTGACGCGCCCGCGGTCCCCGGCCTGGGCAAGGTGCTCATCGAGTTCGCGGAGCCCTCCGCCGCCATCGCCGCACGGAATGCCATGCACGGGCGCCGCTTCAGCGGCCGCACCGTGGTGGCCACGCTGCTCACCGACGACGACTACAAGCTGATGAAGTGGGACTGACGATGTCCGGTTGCACCCGGCTGGCATGCCCCCCCTGCTGACCCTTGTGCAGCCTCTGTTCCTCGGAGGCGAGGTGTGAAGCTGGCGACGGGGCAACACCAGGCATGCAGGGGCCAGGGTGGGGGAGGGTTCTGCAAGGTCAGCACAGGCCAGCCTACTCAGGAGCCCGCTGGTACAGTTTTGCGGTGTCGTCCGGCCCCTTGGGCATCTCCAGGAAGGTGTTGGCGCCGCTGTTGTAGAACTTGGCCGCGAAGATGCCCACCAGGAGAGCCATGACCACCAGGGTCGGGATGGTGATGGAGGCCGCCTTGCCCAGCAGCTCCCAGTTGGAGCCCTGCATACGCATGCGCAGGAGCCAGGGAGGGGGTCCAGCCTGAAGCGGGATCCCTGCAACGCAGAAGGCATTCGGAGCAGCCCCGTTCCCAACCAATGCTCCACACACTCCAGGGCGAGCGCACCTCCCAAAAGTCCTTGTCCACGGCATCTGCCAGCTCCCTCTGCTCCGTTCCCCGATCTCCCTCCTCGTTCACCGCCATGAGACCGGTGGAAAGCCCTCTTCGTGGCGCTGGAAACGTAGAGGGGCATTTACTCGACGTCGGGGCGAAGCGCTTGCGAAGAGGGGCATCCCTGCCCATGGCTGTCCATGCGACACAGCCGCGACAGTGAGCGGAGCCAATGAGGTTGGCCATCCTCCTTGATTACAATGCAAGTAGAGTCAAATATCCTATGGACGGCGCATTGATGGAAGCAGGTGTTGCGGGGTTGTTCCTGTGTGAAATCATCGCGCATGCATGAAGAATCTCCATCCCGGGAAGTGATCCGGGGGGACGCGCGCGAGAACTCTCCCCATATAAAAAGCCCTACTTGGGGACCTCACCTTGTTCGACGGTGTCCATCTTCCGAATGGGTCGAAGAGATGTTCGCGGCGACCACATGGGCCTTGAAGAGGCTCCTCAAGTTTGTGCTGAAGCGCAACCTGAAGCAGTGGATCGCCACCGAGATAGACCTGGACCAGGTCGAGGTCCAGCTCGGCCAAGGCAGCCTGGAGCTGCGTGAGGTTCTTTTGAATGTCGACTACATAAACCAGCAGCTGGTGAGCCACAGCTTGCGTCTGATATCATCTGCAGCATGCCAGCATGGTTCCGGCACTGGCCAGGACCCCTGACCTGTGTCCGACATGGCAGACCATGGTCCCCACCCACTCACCCCACCCAGGACCACACGCACTGGGAGGTGGTGACCGCCTTCGTGGGCTGCATCAGGGCCTACATTCCTCTGGCCTCCCTGTACCAGGACTCCTGCAGCATCCAGCTCGTGGATGTGTTCCTCACCGTCCAGCCCCGGGCGCAGCCGGGCCCTGCGCCGCATGCGCCCGGCGCAGCCCCCGGCACACCAAGACCCCCGCCCCCCGCCCCCGCGGACGGCGTGTCCGACGGCATCCGCATCATCGCCGGGGGTCTGGAATCCCTGGTCCAGCGTCTGCAAGTCCAGGCCTCGAACATCGTGGGGCGGGTACTGCTGCCCTCGCAGCACAGCAGTACCCCCCCAGCCCTCCTGGTCCTCACCCTGGAGCAGCTGAGCTACACCGGGGCCGAGCCGGAGGCCTCCAGCCTGACCTCGGCGCCGCGGAGCACGCGCAGCGTAGACTTCCGGGGCCTGGCCCTCGGCGCTAAGGTCGACGCCGGGGCGGGGGGCGCCGCGGAGCCCCTGCTGGCGGGCGCGGATGGCGAGGGGTGCGGGGGCACGATGTCCGTGACCCTGGGCCTGGGCCAGGGGTGTGGCACGCCCCACCCCACCGCCTCGCTGGGCTTGACCATGGGTGGCCTGGCCGCCGACCTGACCGCCGGCGGCCTGGCCACCCTGGACCGCCTGGCAACCGTGCTGCGAGGCATGCTGGGGGCGGGGGGCCAGGCCCCAGGGACGAAGGGGGCGGGCCCTGAGCCCTGTCGCGAGCAGCATGACCCCCCTGGGGCCTGGGCGTCGCGCTCCCTGCTGGAGAGCCTCATGCTCCCCGACTGCGAGGACCTGGTGCTGGAGGCCTTTGCTGGCGCTGAGTCTGAGCTGGAGGTCCCGGTCAGTTGCCTGGGGGGTGGGGAGGCTGATTGCCAGAGACTGGGTGGCCTGCTCGGGGGATGAGTCGAGGCTTGCATGTTGAACTGTTGCAGTGGGCACCGTAGGGGCCCACCCCTTCCTCCCACTCCCCCCTTGCTGCAGCCTGACGAGGAGGTGAGCGACCCAGACTTCTGGGATGCCAGGTCTCAGACCGCCTCCTTCTGCAGCACCAGCTCAAGGTTCCAGTCCGTGTACAGCTCCGACTCCCGCACCGGCTCTGTGTGGAGCAGCGCTGGAGCCTCCATGCAGACAGCTGCCACGCCAGCGCTCGCTGCGCCTGAGAAGACGCTGTCCCGCTTGCACGACCTCACCGCCTCCATTCGGGAGGTGATTGGCACATGGAGGCCCAGGGGTGGGAGGCATGTTGCATTTGAGAGGCAGGGAGTCTGCTTTCGGAGAATTCCCCAGCAGGGCCTCTCCGCGCATATCACGTCCCGCCCACCCTCACCACCCATGCAGGTGGCAGCCCCGCTGCAGTGGAGCCTCTCGGCCAAGCTTCCCCGGGTGCAGGCCACCCTGCCATACCCAGGCACCGACGACCAGCTGGTCCTCAGCTTTGAACACGTCTCGCTGCAGCTCCGGGTGAGGGAACTCCTTTGCGTGACATCATGCACCGCTCCTTGGTTCACACGGGGGTGGCAGGCTGTGGAGCTGCAGCCTGGTATATGGAGGCCCGCGCTCCCCTCATCAAGTGCCCTGAGACTAAACCCTACAGGGCCAGGCACCCTGCATCCTGGCTGGCTTGACGCTCCAGACCTTGGAGCTCGTGGAAGAGAGGTCGGCGGCCGTCGACGTGGCAGAGGATCAACACATGACGGCATGCTGCTCGCTGCCTAGCAGCGTGGGACCCTGCCCAGACTATGCCAGGCCCGGTGAGGCATGGGGGCTAACAAGCGGCATGGGCCGTGGTACCCGAAGGGTTCACGCCTTGATAGAAAGACTGCTGCAGGTGCTGAATACTTCCGTCCTCCGCCCCAAGCCAGCAATGCCACCAACCCTGTTCCCTGCCCAGGGCCGTATGACCCTGACGAGAGCCCCCTGAAGAGCACGCTGGAGCAGCTGTCGGATCTGCACATCCCAGACCGGGCTGGGACAGAGGCACGGCCGAGCAGCACGGCAGCCTACCCCTTCCTCTTCTGCAGCGGCAGCGATGCACAGGGTCTTAGCAGATCAGGCGCGGCAGCGGATGAGCGCGCCGCTCTCACGCTCTTCTGTCAGAGCGGCGGCAGCGGCACAGGGTGGGACACGCATGTGCACCTGGCCCCGCTTTCCTGCTGGCTGAATTTGCCGGCTGCCGAGCGCCTGCTGGCCGCCGTGGAGAGGTTGGCGGTGGGCATGCACGATTGCGCACCGGCGCCCGAGGTTGCCGGTTGTGGTGTGGCAGTCAGCCCCAGCACTTTGTCCCCGGCCGTGTCCAGCCAGAGCCTGGGCACAGATAGGTGAGTGCCTTGGGAGTGCTCCTAGTCCTATATACCTATTCCGATGTGGGCTTTTGCCCTTGGGGCTTTCGACTGTGCCACGATTGTTTCGTCGCAGTCCATCTCTTTCCACATGACATTGCATACATCACTGGCCAAGAAAGTCCCTGCCCAACCCACATCCACGCAGGCAATCCTCCATCTCCCTGCCGGAGCTGGAGCCCTCCCTCAGCATCCACTGCTCCCAGCTATGCCTGCTGGTGCCCCTCCCCCTCTCCGCCTGCGCAAGCGGCCTGGACGGCTCGTCGGCGTGGCCCGGCCCGGGGTCCTGCCTGGCCCTGATCACATCGCTGGGCTGCGGCGACCCACTCGTGCACGCACAGGCCATGCAAGGCGTGCGCGAAGTCGACAGCGCAGACTGCAAGGTGCATAGGGTTCCCCGTCGATCCAATCGCACTGCCTGGGGCATGCACTCACCCCGCTCTGATCGGCGGGCACAGTCCTGGGTGGCAGGCACCGCTGGAATCATCAATCCATTCCTGTGAAACCCACTCCAATGTGCAGCCTGAGCTCGCCGCGCTGCACCACAGCTCAGCCCTGACGCTGGTGGTGCGGCGGGCCCCGCCGGCCAGGCTGAGCCAGGTGTTCACCAGCCTCCAGCTGGCAGGTGCCAGGGTGTTGTGGCTGCCTGCTGGCAGCCATGCAGGGGCCTTGCTGGAGGCTAGCCCACAGGATGGAGGTGGGCAGCCAGCAGAATTGATGTTCGCAGTGGTGGATGGCGCCTTTGACAGGGCGGGTCGGATGCAAGACCTGATGCTATTACACGACTCAAGTGGCCTGCCCTGATTTGCAACCTCATGCGATCGCAGGTGGCGCGATCCAGGTCTTCTGCAGGTCAAGCTTTGGTGCAACCCCTCTGTCCAGCCCCGATCGGCTGGAGGCGCTGTGGGAGCAGGCGACCCCCGCCCCCACCAGCGCGTCTGATGAAGGTGTGGATGCTGGGTGAAGGGGATCATCCTCTGGGCGCAGATCCCCCAACCTCGCACTTGTGGGTCCGCTGGGCGGCAACCTCAGTCCTGTCTCACTCACCGCACCCCTTTCCCCCCCTCTCTTCCAGGATGTGGTGTCTGGAGGTCCAGCGAGCCAGAGGCCCTGCTGACCTCCTTGGAGGCGAGCACAAGGCAGGAGTGCACGCACGCGCTACGAGCCTCCGGCCTCCACGTGCACCTCGACCTCGACCCTGCCAGACTCGCACCCCTGGCGCCCCTCCTGGAGGCCTGCCTGGGCCTGCTCCCCGCGCCGACGCTGCCCGGCGTGGAGCTGGCCACCCAGAACTGCCTGTCCCTCGACGCGGCGGCCCGGCTGACGCTGCGCGACGCGGCGGACCGGCCCCTCTTCCACGCCGAGGTAGCCGGCTTCCATGCTTTCTTCGTGGCGGGGCTGGGCAGGGTGCCGGGGGCCTCGGCCGCCGTGCTCACTCTCGATGGAGCGGACCTGGCCTGCGCCCAGACTGGGGACTTGCTGCTGCATGGCGGGGGCCCAGGGGCGAGCGGCCCCACCCTGGCCCTGCTGCATCTCTCCAGGCAAAGCGATGTTGGGGTCAAATGACATGGGAAAATAGTGGGAGAGGGAGGGGGTGGCCCTTGACCCTTGGGTTTCTCAGAGCCAGGGGTGGAAGGCACATCCCTCATCTCGCCGCTCATCACATGGCCTGGTGCAAGCAAACCCGTAGCTGAGATTATAACTGCCGCCCTGTCCGCAACACCACTGTGCAGGCAAGTGGATGGCACAGTGATAAACCAGGGGCGGCGAGTGGTCTACCCTTCCCGGAGCATCGGCCTCCTCCAGATCCGAGGTGCGGTGGTCGGACAGAAGGGGCCTGGCCGCCATGCATGCCTGTCCACCGTCTCGCCAGGCTGCGGCCCTGGAAAGTAGCAGAGGACCCGACTCTCGCCCTCTTTCCCGCGCGTCGTGGACCATCACCCCTGTGCCGACCGGCAACCGCTCGTCGTCCCATGCCACGGTCTCCACCTCATGCCATGATGCCCATCAAACCCTTGTGCAGAGTGCACCCTCTCCACCTCCGACGGCGACCCGACGCTGGGCTGGCTGGCGCAGGTGGGCGCGCTGCTCGCCCCGGCGCCGAGCGCTTCGTCCCCGGATCCCCCCCCCGCCCCAGGCGCCCGGGCGCTGTGGACCGTGCGGTGCGAGTCGGTGGCCGTGCGGTACGAGGCGCCGCGCGGGGCCCCTGCCCCGACGGCCGCCGCCGTGCTGCGCGCCGGCAGCGCGGTCTGGCGCGGCCCCGGCGCGGGCGACGCCGCGGCGCGGCACTCACTGGTCCTCGGCTGCCTGGACCTGCACGTCGCACCCGCGCAGACCAGGGAGGCGGCGCGCTGGGCGCGGGGCGCCCCTGTGGACGGCTGGCGCGCCGACCTGGCGGGCCAGGGGTACCTGCTGGTCGCCAGCGAGGCG